CAATAAAATCAGGATTTAGGTCACTCTTTTGTTGAAAATGCTTACTGTATTCAAAATAATTTTATAAATTAATTAAAAGCAGATTGAAGTGCAGCAAAATTAGCTTCTGAGTAGAAGTCACTAAATAGATGAGGAAAAAGCTAAGAGATTAGTCATTTAAAGATAAAAAATTTGTTTTGTTGCCAATTAGTTTTTTGTAAGATTTTATTTTGTGATCAATTTGCCCTAATAATAAATAGAAAGTCTCCATCTACATCAAACACCTGTGCCAGGGGGACAAATTTGCAAACAAATTAGTATAATTCCTGAACTGAAATCAGGGGCCACACAAAATCAGTTCTGGGGCCACAAATGGCCCCCGGGCCACACTTTGGACATCCCTGTTGTACAGAACAATCGTCTGATGGAATGTAACAACAAATTTGTCCTATTTTAGTATAACCCTGTAAAATAAACAATAAATCATGTATTTTACATGTTTTTGTTCAGGCATTTGACATATGTTAGACAACCGCATTTAAATTAATCAGTTTTCACAAGAAAGTACCAACAAATGTATCTGTGTTTGTATAAAACGTTTGCTGTCTTTTTTGTTGACCATCCTCTGCTTAAAACTTGAATCCTAGCAAGTTCTTGATTTTGGTTTCCCTCCTCAGGTTTTGGGGTCTTTTTATGCTTTTATTCACGTTATTTCAGCTATTTGATTAAACCTCATTGTGGACACAGTCTGAACAGGACTGTACATCCCTTTATCTTTTTAGCAGCAATTTTTTCCACAATCAGCACGTCTGAATCCTGTTTAGCTGCCACAACACTTTTGCTTTGGACCTGTTCTGGTGCCACGATCCAAACCTTCAGTCATCGGGTAAGCCTGTTACGCTAGGGATTTACTTTCACTCCCTGCTGTCGTTTGGCAATTCATATTCCAGCTTATTTTGTTAAAGTCATACTTTTTTACGATCTGTTGTTGAAAGCATGATTGAAGATGACAAAATGAAGGCCCGTCCCGCGCTGAAACAAGAACACTGTTGTACTGAACAGAAAGGCGACCAGCTGAAAGACATGAAGTAAAGGCTTAGGCTTCATGTTGGCACACAGGAGAATAAAAACACCTCCACCCAGCCTCACTCAGGTTAGTAAACTGGGGGGTAAAAGAGGGGGAGAAACGAGCGGCTTTACGGGCAGGGCTGACGTGATTAGAAAGAGGGTAGTGTTCAAGTGGACGGGGAGCAGTCGTGTTCAGGAACAGTAACTCTTCCTTAGGCCAAAACTAACATCTGGTGCAGACCAACACAGAGTTGCAAC